TTTTTTCATTCTTAGGAATGTCTAAATTCAGTTAAACTAGCAATTCCGTATTATATTTATAAATCTTTATAACATTATACAAAAATTAGATTTTTCTTAAAAATTGAAATTTTGCCGGGAATGGGGCTTTAAGTCGGGCCTATCTAGGGCGGCCTGCTGTGCAGGGTCCAAATAATAGGCATATAGGATAGCCTAGGCCTTGCTAAATAATGCTTAGGCTTAATGTTAATAAATTAATAGGCCTAGGTCTATATTATATATAATTATATTTAATTATAATAACACAATAAATACAGGAAACATTCTCTCTTATTCTAATTAAAAGAAAATAGGCAGCCAAACTATAATAATGTAGTTTTTATAGTGTTTGTATGGTGCTTTGTATTTACACAGATTTCAACGTTTTCGCCGAGCTGGAAGAATCAGTCAAACAAGAAAAAAACATGAAAATATACAGTATCTGTCCGAGTGCTGTGGAGTAAAGAACATTCATGAAAAAAATGAATTTTTGTTTTTTAAATATCATTCCAAAATATTTTGTTTGTCCATTTCATTTTGTAAATTTGGTTTCTGTACAGTAAATACAAATTAGATTAAAAATGGTAATTACTCAAATGAGCATCATTTATTCATCTATCGAACAATTCAAATTTCATATTCAGCAAGTAGTTTGAAAGATATAAATACAATTGTAAAATGGTTGTACGCCCTACGACATGCCAAATGCATTTAGTCCAAATAGCATATTGATCCACTGTCTATAGGATAGGATATCGTAATGATCACAAACAAAAATGAAAATTAAAAGTTTTACAATTATTAATTGTTAAATTTTTATTTTGAAAACAGAATCGGTTAAAAAAAAAAATATGCTGCTGAATAAAAAAAAAAAAGAAAAAAAGAAAAAAAAAACATAATTTTTAATTTTGTCTGCCTTCTTAAGGCAGGTTAACTTAACCATAGATATTAGGGTATTTAGAAAGTAAATTGTTTTTCCATTGACTGGAAAAGTTCCATGAGTATAATATAGTGCGTAACATCAAGGTACAAATTTAAAGATTTAGGCCTGAATAATATATTGTATAAATGAAACCATTTTCAATACAAATAAAGCCATCAAGCTGTATAAACAACTGAAGTTTATGTTCACAAATTACACAGTTTCAATTCTGAAAATAAGATTTTGATTGTGTAGTTCAAAGTTATTGTTTTTATTGTTTAAACTATAAACTGACAACATTTACCAGTAGTAGTAGTAGTTTAGTCTGTTTCCATTACTATTTTTAATTATTTTTTTGTTGTTGTATTGTTGGTGTTGTTGGTATTTATAAAGAAAAGATTTCTTTTTAATGTTATTTGTGGGTGTTTAGTAATGGGGAGCCTGTTTAACAGTATATAAATCAGGGCCATAATGAAAAGAAATTGTCCACATTTTTGTCATTTTCTAGTATCTGGCCCGAAAAAGGTAGTGTTTGAGAAAAATAATTCAAGTGAGGATTTCAGAAATAAATTAGAAGAGGAATTTTCTGACTTGAGTATAAAGTCATATACATTTATGAGACGCAAGGGTGGATCAAGGAAATTAGAACCGTTACCAGATGATGCCACATCAGCTACTACAATTAAGGACTGTCTCAATAGGTAAGCACTCTATGTAAGATTTAAAGAAAATGAAGTGAGTGTAAGTACAGTAGGCGAATATTATCTGGCACCCGATTCTGCAATTAGTACATAAGTAATTGTTAACTGGTGAGAAGTAATGCGATTAACTTTCTGTTAACTTTCGTCATTGGTCATTAATGATCTCCGTTAGCAACTAACCACTTCACTAACCTTCTCTCTAGTATTAACGAATAGGCATACCGAGAGGGCGTTACCCAATGTACCAATAATGGGTTTCTAGTGTTTGAAACAAATCTTATTGTCAATTAAATAAAATATTTGTATAAAATTAAAATATAGTGTTAACTAGTTTATAATACCTCTTTTCTACATATTTTTAAAACCCCATCAAATGGAAGATTTACTTTTGTGTAGGGACAAGACCTGGGCCTAGCGATACGTAAAGCATCATGGAGTATGAACTTGCTTTTGTGTATTTCAAAAAAATCAAAATATATAAAACTACAGTATACAGGTAGGCCTAGAATGTTTTCTCCAAAAATCTTCAACAACACAGTCAACAAGAAGGGTGCTTTGTCAGACTCTATCTAGCCTACCTATCTTAGGCTCATACAGGACTGGCCTAGGCTTCGTACTCTAGGACAGATGTCCTGGAAAGCTAGGCTAGGCTATGCCCTAGCTAGGTCTACATTGAGACATGCCTGAGGAGGCTCAAGTTAGGCCTAGCCCTAGTCTGCATAAGTAGTGGGTTGAGGATTAGAGTTATAAATATGTAGGTGCCTACTGCCCCGTCAGGGCTGGATAAGCCCGGCCCTATTTAACTTGATTGAGCATAAAAGGTTAAGAGCTGGTCTTTACGACTCCAGCCTGCTAATCCTGGCATAATTGGCAAAGTAGGGTCTTCTTTTGGGGCTGGGGTGATTTGTTACCGTAACTTCAAGTAATTGTTTTGTTGCGAAATGACCCGGTAAAAGTGACAAAATAGCCAACATATTTTAAGGCTTTGTAGCTTCTACGATGATTGATGTGAACATTTTAGTATGTGTACAGTATAGTACAGTAAATAGGTGTGGACGGCTCTTACTCTACGTAACTTGCTTCTCCCCTAAGGGTCTCTACGTGTCTAAGCTACCCGGTAAACCGGTACCAGCGACACTCTTCAGTAGGGGCTAAATAGACCAGTACGCCATGGTAAGCCCCTACTCGTCTTGAAAGTAATTACACTGGGCTTATCCGTGAAAAATTGTTTCACCACCAGAACCTAGGCGTACGTGCCATTCTAACCAATTCGATATTATAACTGTACGTGGAGGTTGTCCTTGTATCACCCACTAATGTAACAATCAACCACTAATGTAACATTAACCACTATTGTAACAAAAATCAACCACTAATGTAACATTAACCACTATTGTAACAAAAATCAACCACTATTGTAACAATTTCATTAACCTCTATTGTAACAATTTCATTAACCACTATTGTAACAAAATTAATTAACCACTGTTGTAACAACAATTTAACCACTAATGTAACAACAACGTACAATATATAGAAGTCTCCAAGCCGAAAGCTTATTTACATAGTCCTATTAAAATTTCATATTTTTGATTGTTGTGGCATTTAAAAAAAATTATAATTTTCGATATAGATCAGATTTATTAAAATGGTTTGAGACATTTGTAAATATATAGTTTGGATATTTAAAGGTCAGTGTTCATAAAAAAACAGTAAACAGTTTGATTCCCAAATGTATGTATGAATCTGTATATATATGTATGTATATATATGTATGTAAATATATGCATATATATATATGATGATAAACATGTAACATTGAAAGTGCATGT